ACTGTGATATCACGAGTATCTGCAACCCTGCCTAAACAATAATATCCATTTCATTAATACAATACATTTTCAAACATCCTTATCAAAACCAAATTATTTATATAACTGAATTTCCATTAACTTTAATTCGCCTTTTGCAACTGGTGTGCACTCAACATCAACAGCTGCAAACATGAAAAAAAAAATCATTTTTATTGTCTATGAACATGTACATATGTCAATACATGGACATAAAATTCATCTTTCATCTCTAACATTAAAATTGTTTTATATTTTACAGCATTTTTATACTGAAATAAATATATTTCTTCATCCCAGACTGTTTTTGTAATACTTATAACAGACACCAATGCTTATTAAAGTTTGTCACACAATTGTCTATATATGCATCTTTTCAAAATTTATTTTGCAACTTTCAGTGAGTGAGAAGGGTTTGCAGCATAGTTGCAATGAAGTGAAAATTGGCGCATTAAATCAACCAGTGGTGTCGCCAAGGTGCACATCCAAATTTCAGCGATGTTATTTGGAAATATATTGTGAACGACTTTCTTGCTTGTTTTACTTTTGTTTTAAATGTAGTCATGTAAATACAACTGTTACAAATATCACTGGTTAAAACCTGGCAAAAACTGCTTCTTGTTACATGAAGCATTTTTTTAGGGCAACAAAGGTACGTTACCTCATTCATTTTCAATGTTTAATTGAAATTTTGACATTATTGACCCAAAATACACAAAATTATACTGTTTGTGGGTTCCTTTAAATGTGCTACACGGCATACATGAAATATAAAATTTGGTTAATAAAGAAATTGGTTTCCTTTCGTATTTCACATTTGTTTGTCATTTAAAAATTTGTATTTTTCTTAAAATGACCCATCAAAATATATGGATGGCCCATTCATTTTCAAAATGGCCCATTAAAAAGTTTGACAGTTGGACCATAGTCCCATTGCCCTTTATGACCTTCCCAATCACTGAACTTTTTTCATAATAATTTTGCTAGTGCTCTGGGTGGAATATGATATATTGAATATGACTGACTATAGATATCATATGTATCATTATACGTAAGAGCACATATAATCTATATATAATCATTTTTGAGCAGTTAAGCAATTTATTTTTTCTAAATTGCTCATAATAAATGGCACTTAATTTCAAAATTCAATTATTCTTTAAACCCCATACATACTTTTCTTCTTTACAGCAGTGCCACATTCCCCACAGAACTTGTTGTTGGGTTCTAGGTGACTACCACATTCTATGCAGAACATCCTGCAAAAGTAAACAAATTATAAATAGATAGTAGTTCCGAATATTTGAAAATTAATTTTGGTCAGTGGATATTCCTATTAGCTGTAAGCTTAAGAGGACAATTTGAATTTTAAATTTGGGAATAGTAAAAGGAAGATACAATGATTGATAGAAATCATCAACCTTAAAAGACATATAGCTTCTATTAATTATATTTTATAAATCTATTGATATAAAAAATAATTTTAGGGAAAATAAGATCAATAGTTATGAATGTTAATTGAGTTTCAATACAAAATGAACATTTCATTCGAATTTCCTCGATTATGAAAGACTCGCTCAGTTTTGGGAGAAAGTCAAATAACTGTATAAACTGTATTCATGTATAACTTACATCAAAAAACAAGAATTTTTGTTATTAACACTAAAACAAACAACAAAGAATATTATTGATATATTACTTACATTAAATGTAATCAGTAATGACCACGATCACGATGCCTCCTACATCAAATAAACACGATGCCTCCACATCCGCGTCCTTAGAAATCTTGGCCAAATCTCGATCTCTTGAAATCTTGGCCGGCCAAATCTCGATCTTTTGAAATCTTGGCCGTTCATCTCGTAGAAGCTTGGGAATTAATGATCGAGGTCACCCGAAATCTTGGCAATGTACCGGGTCGAGGGTGTACATGGCCAGGGTTATCATGGCCAGGCCTATACGGCCAGGGTACGCGAGCAAAATGGCCAGGCTAGGCTATGTATGGTAGAGGGTTATGGGGAACATGGCCACGCCAAGACATTATTATGCAAGACCAGGTTGAACATGGCCAGCCAGGATAGCTAATCGTCGAATGCAAGATGCATGATAATATACATGGCCAGGGTGAAGATGGCCAGGTCATGTTTAGAAGCGTGGGATAGGCATGGTGCGAACATGGCTAGGCCAGGGTAGTACATGGCCGGGCTAGGCTGTGTATGGTCGGGGTAAACATGACTAGATGGGATGGCCATGCTGCAAACATGGATCGGCCAGGTTTTATACGGCTAGGCCATGATGATAAAGCGTGGGGTGTCCATGATGCAAACATGGGAAGGCCAGGGTAGAAATCATGGGTGGCCAGGGTTAAAACTATAGATTATATAGACCCTGACCCTGGGGGTCCCCTATGGCTTCAAAGATGGGAAGGCCAGGGTAGAAATCATGGGTGGCCAGGGTTAAAACTATAGATTATATAGACCCTGACCCTGGGGGTCCCCTATGGCTTTCCATAGTATACGGCTAGGCCATGATGATAAAGCGTGGGGTGTCCATGATGCAAACATGGGAAGGCCAGGGTAGAAATCATGGGTGGCCAGGGTTAAAACTATAGATTATATAGACCCTGACCCTGGGGGTCCCCTATGGCTTCAAAGATGGGAAGGCCAGGGTAGAAATCATGGGTGGCCAGGGTTAAAATTATAGATTATATAGACCCTGACCCTGGGGGTCCCCTATGGCTTTCCATAGATTTCTACCAAAATAGATGACACGTAAAATGATGACGTTGCACTGTTGACGTTGAGGTATAGGCTATTTGTAGTGTAACGTGTTTGGGTCCGTGAATTTGAGTATAGATCCTTAATCAAGACAATTAATTAAACAAATGGTTAGAAATGATAGGTTAGACGTAGCATGTGAAAATAAACGAGTCAACATATACAATAATAGGATTTCCTATCCTTAACATAAAAGCATACAACTTTCTTTAAACAATAATGGTATGGGTCTCGCACGCGACACGGACAGGTCTGTGTTCTGCATGCATCAGTACCAGGACAGGTACGGATCTCCGAGGTCTCTGTCCTATACACAGGCAGATCTTAATAAAATTCGAGGAAAAGTAATTACAACTTTATTAACCTTCAAATACTGTGATCCAGTATACTAGACACCGTATACTGTATTAATTACAAGCCTTATTAACCTCCGACGACAGTCTGCACTGAGCTCCGACTGGCAACTGCCAGCTTTCTGTTGAACGCTCGTATATATACTGATGTATACCCGGACTACCCTTGGCCGCTATCGTATCACATTACGATAAAGTCCGGCTGACGTACAATCTCTCACCAGAGGGCGTATTACGCTTCGCTACAACACCTCTGTTAACGTCTAAATGCCAAGATTCTTGGCAAAACTTACCGTGACCTATTGCATAACAAATTATTAATTATATATTTTAGCTTTAAAATTTAAAGAAAAGTCTATGTATGAAAATTAGAAAGAGATATATCTGTATCACCGTATCTTACAAGGGATTATTTCTCGGCGGGATATTGCATCACTAATGTAGACAGATATGAAGAACGTGGAAAATTTAAAACGCATTGCCGACAAATATCAACATGGTTTAGTTTTTAAAGACAAACAACTTGCAGCATTGACACATATACAGAAAAGTGAAGGTTATACGCTTGTTAATCTTCCTGTGATAAAGACCACGCGTCTCCGCCTTCCGTACTACTTTTTAGACGTTGACAGAGGTATAAGTGGAGCGTAGCGGGAACTAGATTGGCTGACGTAATGCATAAAGACATCCCGAGCCCGATCTCTGTCACAGTAGTCTATACAAAATATGAAATCTTGGAATGATATCTGCTGCGTCTTTTAAAACATGTGACAATCTGTAGGAGATTCGCTTTATACCAACTTTGGACTAGAAGTTGTACAGTGTTGTAAGGACTAAGGAATTATAAATCCTATACTCTGAAATCATTCTGTGTACGGCGACAGTGCTAGTCTATTTGTGAAACCATGGTAAGTTATATTAATAGTATAATGTTAGAAAACATTTCTGAAAGTTGCTAGAGTTTCCTGCATTGTCAAAGGAATTTTGCATGAACAACTTCACTGCTTGCCCTACCGTTTCCTATGAGAACGATTGAAAGGTTGGGGGGGGGGGGGGTTAGCATCCGTTACCGAATAAATTAACCAGTAAAAAAACATTTCATTGAGGTAAAACGAGTCTTTTTCTGTTTTTAACGAACATATTTACTCATTAGCATTCGTAGGATAATGCAAGAAGTTCCACAAAAAGAGCTTCGATAAATTTAAATCTTGAATCGAGGGATTGTGTCAAAACCGGAAGTACTATTGAAAGCATCCCGGGGATAAAGCATTGATTTGTCTTTTGGGTAGTATCCACCACACGTATGAGATAAACCTCGTTATCTCGAACTAGATCGGAACTTCGAAATATCCGAGGAATGGAGATGCCGGGGGTAAAATACTAAGGGAATAAATGGTTTGGACTTAAAATCACTTCGACATACATGCATGGTAATCGAGATATCAGTGTTTGAGGTACGGATATTTAAAACCCCAACATTTTTTTGTTTTGTTTTATTTAAAACACTTGCATTGTAATTTAATAAAATTATTGGTTAATTAAGATCTTGAATCTCGAAATTCGAATCTCATATTCCGAATTTCGAAACTCGAAAGAGCCTTCTGGGATTTCGTATGCAATTAGACAGTGCAGTTCGCCCATATTGTTAATTTGGAGAGGAGTAATTGTTTAGAATGACATTCTTTCGCAGAGATGTTTTATTTCCTCATTGTGTGTGTGGGGAGGGGAGGGGGGTTATTATAATTATAATATAAAAACACATACAATATAACCGGTATCATACAAATCAGGTGATTCGACATTAAACCATACATGTGAGATACATGAGCAGTGTTCTTCTGTACAAAACTCAATGTGTGACAACGGGACCTGTGTGTGTCGGTATGGATATACTGCTGTTAATTCAACATATTGTCAACAAGGTTTGTACATGATGTTATCTTGGTTATGTTTTAACATTTCAAATCTAAAGTTGGCTGAAATGGTTTTCTACAGTAACTGCGATTTAAAATAAAAAAAAATATATAAGAATAGTAATTCAAATTTTCATATTATTACGACAGTGGAGAAGATTGAATTCATGCAAAGAGATTTACTTCTAAAATCAAGTAAGAATCATCCTGTCTGATAACACACGAATGGGTTTGTGTTCAATATTTTCTTACGTTATAGAGGTATATAGGGACAGTATAATTATTTTGGTATATGTCATAAACCCTTCGAAATATATACTACTTATTAATATAAAACTTTCGTACATATTTCATTATGTGAAGCAGGCAACGGCATTGGGGTGACCTTAGGAGCTACTTTTGGTGGATTCATTCTTGGAGTATTGTTCACTGTACTTGTAGTTTATATCCTTTACAGACGATACAGCTCTGATATGAGAAAACGGTAATAATATTACCAATTCAAGGAGATATAAACATTAGTGAGACAACTCAGATATCAAATTCCGAGTTTTAGTCGAGGAAAAGCAAAATACAAAATCTTGACATCATCGTAGTCAAATGGTGACCAGATAGATACAATGTTAATTTTCACTTACATATAATTATATCTGTGTGGAAAACAAACAATCAATCTATTAACAATCTCTTTTCAACAAGATATAAATGCTTTTTACTTAAACAACAGTTTCTACTGTTGGAGTCATTTGCAAGAAGCCATATCATGTTTAAAATGAAGATTTTTCTTACAAATTAGGATACATTTTTTAGTTAAATCGTTTTACATGGAAAAAGTTTTTTTGCGAAATTAAAAAATACACAAAAAAAATTTCAGAAATGATGAACTTCAGTTTATTTACAAGTATCTTTCTATTTATTTGATATAGTGAAGAACCTGGAGTAGCGTTTGTTGGAAATGATGGTTGCAGTACAAATTCAGCTGTTGAAGTTATTCAGGGTCAAACGTTGAAAGACAAAGGAAGACAAGTACAGGTAGAGGCTATAAGGTGAAGATAACGATCAGTGATCGATCAAAAAAAATTACAAACAATACAAATCTATGAACAGGGCATAAAACACGGGGCCCCGGAAATTTCTTAGGTGGGATCAGGTGCCTTGAAGGAGTAACCGTTCCCTGTTGAACCTTTTTTTTTATTCAAAACAAATTCCCTTTATTTAATTTTTTTTTTTTTTTTGAAAAACACGAATGATCAACGCAGGTGGGTTAAGGCTAATATATGCATTTCTATGCAAATACTCTAATTAAAATGCCTAAGGAGTATATATATTATACAGAGAAAGTTAAAACCTATTGTCTAATACATACCTGATACCCACGATTTGAGATAGCCAGTACACATTATGACGTCATATTATGATATCATTGTTCTATACGACAGAAGATTATAAAGGACATCAACAAAATGATTCGGCGCAAGGGCATGCTCTTTTTTATTTAACTGAAACAAGGTATATTTTGAAGCAAAATATTCCAAAGTTTGCTGGTATTGCTGCACAAATATCAATAGACCAGTTGTATAATTTCTATTAGTAAAGTTTTAAGTTGAATAAGGGTAAAAATGTACAGTCCGGTATAAGTTTCCTCAAAGTTCGATCAAATGATAAAATGCCTAGAATTTGTGCAGCAGTTTTATTAATCTATAGAATATTCTTCTTAGCATTATACAATTTTTATGTAAAAATAAATAGGGTAATACTTTGTACCGAAGCTGGTTTGTTGATGAGTTTTATTACCTCCAGTAGGTAAGATAAGTGACGTCATAATGTGTTCTGGATATAACATATCGTGGGTACTGAGTATGCATAAGAAAATAAATCAAAACTTTCTCTGAATAATAAATATACCTCTCATGCGTTTTTATTAGCTCATTTGCATAGAAACGCCAATAGCTAGCCTTAACTCACATGCGAATAAAATACGTGTCAGGTCTCAGACATTACACAACCTATTTTGATTTATTGATTAACAAACAACGTCGAAACTCACATCTTCACGTTTTCTCCCATATATCCCGTAATTTTATGGAATAATCAGGATTATAGCAGAGCTGCTTGATTTATACAAATTTTGATGGAGGTTTATTTGTAATTCAAGAGAAATGAGAACTTTAGTTTGTCTTCAGGGTCATATATTGCATTATATAATAATCTATCTAATTTGAAATTCTATCAGAAACCAAATGTACCCAAACGTACTCATAGTTAAAGATTGCAAAGAACAAATGAGAATTCCACCGTTCTGAAATTTAAAAAATGATATGCCCTTAAAAAATTGTAATTCCTCTAGTGTTTGGATACAGGCTTGTAATGTTATTATTATTATTATTATTATTATTATTATTTTGGTCAAATGCAAGTGCATTGTTTTTAAACCTAAGCATTTCTATACATTTTTTACACACATGTACACTGTATCATATTTTTTTTAATTATGATTAGAGAAAAGTCGTCAATGTTCCTCCATATGCTCCTTCAGTAGAATCACCAACTTATAGTAACGTTCAAGAAGCTGGAAAATCACGATTGAAAAATGATTACGTTTATAATCATCTGAATGAGAAAGAGGAAACCCCCGAAAATAACGATCACTATGACGTTGCTCCAGGAACATCACGCCTTGCTGAGACCGAAAGTGATTACAGTCACCTAAATGCAGGGAGGAGAAATGACAGAGTTATCTTATCCCAAGATGACGAATATGCTTGTACTGAAGAATCAAATACTGATAACTATTTCACACTTGAAAAGCAGTAATATGAATGAATCGTGAAATAAATACCTATTTAAACAGGCTTGAATTGAATTGGAAATCAGGTTTTTGTGATTTTGATAGTGGGTTTCCTGTCTTTATATTCCTCCTTTTTGGTGCTTTCTGATGACTTTACAGTTTAGCTCCTCTGCTGTAACAACATTATCAATTTAAAACACAAGGTACAAGAAAGTTTAGTTAGGGGAAGGACAAACACCACCTACCCCAAGACAAACTAAGATTAAGCTAATTTGTGAATGATTGGTTTGGGACAGATAATTTTCAACATTTTCCTGTAACTAATAATACTAGTAAGCAATAAAATAATTTATGTGGTCGAGATTTTTTTTCTGCATTTGGTTTAATGCTGGCACAAATAATGAACTCCATGTTACGTATTGTTTGATTCAAACACAAAATTGTATTATGTTGTTTCAAAGTTTTTAAAATGTAAAATATAAAGATATTTCCTGAAACTTACGGTTGCATATATTTTCATTAATGACATTTATATGAAGTAATTCATGCTCAAATAACCATTAAAATGATTTCAGGGAAGCTTAAAGAACATTGAATAGCTTAGAAAACACGTCTATCAATGTGCGAAAAGGCATCAAGTGTATTCATTAAACATTTATAAGCTTATGCTTATAAAACATATGTGCATATATGTATATTGCCAGTTGTCTCCTTTAATTCAGAATTGAATGCACAAGTCTGCATTGTACAAATAGCTTCTCTTTTGTTTCGTCCATTTTCATCATACTTTGTTGGAAATGAATATTATTTGAAATGGATGTTTAAGTAATCAGAAAAATGGATGATAATCGATTTTCTTTTAACCTTATGAATCATTGCTACAATTTTCAAAAAATATGTCATTAATTAATATTGTCGAATCATAGCAAGTTGTATGCATGTGTATACATGTAGCTCTGTTGGTCAGAGACAAGAAGAGCTTATGCATTAGTAAGGTTCTGTCATAGGTCTAGCTGTTTGTCTCTCCGCATGTCCATTAACAACTTTCCAAAATGCTACTCGATCCTCCTTCAATTTTTGTCTGATATAATACTATTCAAATAATCATTTGAATAATACACATGTGGATTATAAACATAATAATTTGTATCGGTTTTTGATTTCGATGATTTCATCGATCTTGCCAAAGCTAGGCAATTTCAAGTCTATTTGCTGCTTTTCTATCTCTTTCTTGTTATAAGTACAAACCAATAGAGCAACAATCTTGTCAGAGATTTCTTTTACCTTTTCATTTTTAGTCACAATAATCAATGAATAGCTTATCATTATTCTATTTCTCTAAATGTAAATCATTTCTGTTTTGATTTTTTTTATTTAATTCTAATGTTTTCAAACGTTTTAAATGTTTTAAAAGGATTTATTAAAGGCATCATCCATTTTCTGAAAGTATTTTTCTTCATATATACCAGCCAACTTCTTGACTGTAATGTATACATGTACATTGACATCATGTTTCGTTTAGGCTTTAGATATTTTGGTGGTTCAAGCAACAAGTTTTAAGAATTTATGGCAGAGTGTTACATTCAGCTTTTTAAATTTTTTGATGGCTTCACCATCTCATTTGCTAATTATAACAGTACATTAAGTTTGTGTTAAGTCACAATTTAAAAAAAAAATGATCTTTGAACACACGCATACTTTAAACATGATCAAAATATTTTCAAACTTTTTAAAGATTTACTGGTAACGTTGAATTGTCTTCCGCAGATATTTTGATTCTATTGACACCCTAAAACATTAATTTTATATATAAATAATCTTTCTCTTCAGGTTTTGTTTTTCATTCCAGTATCTCACCATAATAAAAAACAGAAATTGCAAAAGAGTAGTCATTCTTTTCATAATTAGATTTTGATGTTTTCATCAACCGAAACCATCCGTTGTAAGTGATGTTTATATAATTTGTAGACTGACTACTTAAAATCCACAGTTTGAGTGACGTGTTTAATATTTATTCTATGAACGAAACGACTTGTATCTTCCCCCAAATGTACTTGCGGCCAAACTGAAGACATTTATCATTTTTTCTTTGTATGCAAGAAATATGAACGTCCAAGAAATGACTTAATAAACACTATTCTTCAACTTGACCAGCAAAATATAATAAATACTCATTTTTTATTGTGTGGAAACGAATCTTTGTCTACCGATGTAAATATTCCAATTTTTTCTGTAGTGTCCAGAAATTTATTCGAGAATCAAATAGATTCTTATTCAAAACAGTGTCTTTGATTTCAATATGTATATGCAGAATGAAAATTTTAAATGTTTTAGCAAATATCAAAGATTCTTGTTCAATAAATATTGTAATCACTGTCATCCCATCGACTGTCGTGTAAACTCTTCACATGTTGGACTTCTTCACAAGAACCACTGGGCCAGTTTCAATCATAATTGTCACAAAGCCACCTTTGTTGTAGGGGATTAAAGTTTGTTCAAATGAAGGGTCACGCTCTCTTTCAAGGGGAGATGATTATGAATTATTGAAAAATAAATGGCAATCTTCTTTTCACACAGGAATATAAAGGAAAATCTTTAAAAAATCTTCTTCTCAAGAACAGCAAAGCCATGATTAGTCATATTTATATGGAGGCATAATCGGATAGTGTAGGGCGGGCCACACCCAGTTAGCTAAACAACGTTATTAAAAAGTTATAAAAACGTTGTGAGAATATTATGAAAACATTCTTAAAACGTTGTTATAGCGTTATTTTGTGTGTTTTTTTTTTAAACGTTATTACGTTTTTTTTCCAAAAAAGCATTTACTGAAATGTTTTGAAAACATTTCTAAAAATCGTTTTTAAAACATTTAAAAATCAATTTTACATCAGAATAAACAAACGTATTTCTTAATTACAGTTAAATAAATTTAAATCCATTATTAATGTTACCGAAAAACTGTTTTTTAACACTTGCAAAGTTAAATTACAGTCTTCCTTCAAATGAAATTTGTACTGTTTGAAATATGGAAAGATCACAGTATCCTTAATCCATTAGAAATTCACCTGTATTACACTTGGACATTTTTTTATTTTCTTCTGAAAAAAAAAAAAAGATTTGAATATAAAACTTGAATTGACTAAATGACTACCCATCCATGCTCGTACATTTCTTTTTAGTAAAACATATCCATATATAAAGCATCTGACAACTACGCATACAACTAGTTTGTTCATTTAAAAAATCTGATAAATACAGAAAAATATGTTTTGGTATACATTTATTTTCATAAACATGTATTTACACGAGTAAAATGGTTATTCCAGCCTTCCATTGGTCTTGTAACGAGGTAAATTTGCGAGTCCTCTGCATAACAGTGGTAGTACATTCCATGTTGTCGACAGATGGCTCAAATCGGTTTTGGAAAACAAACAGTAGAGTTTAGGTCCAAGAACAAACCCTTGAGGGACGCCAAATGGAAGAACTCGCTAGGTGGATTTGAGTGAGTTAATTGACACAGATTGACGTCGATTTTCTAAGTAAGATTGAATTCACTGTAAGGCTCCACATGTTGTTCCATAAGCTGCATTGAGCCTATCCAATAAGATACGATGGTCAATGACTTCAAATGCAGCTGACAGGTCGAGGAGCACAAGGACAACAGATGACCCACTATCTAATGCCTGCGTAATGTCATTATGCACTTTGAGGAAAGTACAGTGTAGTTTCTGGAGAATGTTGTTTTCTGTACGCTGTCTGCATTGTGACACAATGGCAATTTAAGTTTAGATGGTTGTCTAGTCTCTTAGCAACTACCTTTTTAAGTATTTCAGAGAAGAAAGACAGTTTGCTGACAGGTCTGTAGTTTGAAAGGATTTATTTATCTAATCCTGGTTTCTCGAGCAATTACTGCCTCCTTGAAGCTAGAAGGAACTGCATATTCTGAGAGAGATGCGTTAATTTATTATTGATGTTATAATAGGAAGTAGTGATGCCAAGCATTGTTTTGTCAGATAAGTTGTGAGCGGATCACAAGACTTACGGGATGGCAGAATTAACGTTAGTTATAAACGTTTACTGGGTAAGCTTTAAAACATTAACAGCTACTATACGTGTTAATGATGATTCGTACAGCCGCGTAATTAGGAAGACAGTCTACATCTCCGCTATATTAATTACTGCTTTTATGTTTGCAAGGAAGCACATATAAAGTTAACACATATTTAAATTTATCCTTTTCAACTTTTGAAGAAACGTTTCAATGTTTGTTAAATTTGCGGAATATTCATTTCCCTGAATATTAACTCCGCGAGCTAATTTCCTGCTTTACAGTTTTTTAGTTAGTAAGTGTGAAACCATATTGTATGTATTTAATATTTCGGCAAAATTTCTATAAATTATTAGTTTTATATGCCCCCAGAATATGATTCTGTCCCTATACAAACTGTATTCTAGCGTTTGTTGAGCGCCCAAAACAAAGATATATCAATAGTCAGTGTTTTATTTATGGATAATGATGATGATGGATGATTTATGGACGATGTTTGGGAGTTGATTTTATTATCAACTCTCCCATGCACTTACCCAGACCAAACGGTGTTTTTACTAATGACTTCTCTGAGAGAAAAATCATCAATGGAAAGTTATCGCCGCTGACAAGAAATAATACTTGAAAATGCTTGAAAAATTTAATGAGATACATTCCGAACACATTATTGATCAAGAAAAATTTTTCTATTTCATTTTACATTGAAAACATTTCAACTTTAAATGATGCTACGACTAACTTTCTGTAATAGTATTTGCTGTGTATTTTTCCCACACTCGGCCACGGTGTGGCAAGTTTCAGTAATCTGGTTCAGCCTCTGATAAGCGCAATATAATGACATGGGATCAGTAATAAAAAGAGTTCTTTGAGGGCTGCGCTCTCTCGAGGAAATATCTCGAAGAAACCAAAACAGACCACAGAGTGCACAGAGATCTGCTAAAGAATTGTTCATATTGTACTTGCAAAATAAACCCTGGAAGCTTTCGTTCGACAAACTTGCATGGAGACAATAAAAGCGGAATTAATA